GGGCCGGGGGTGGGGGTGGGGCCCGAAGAGGACCCTGGCGCGGGCCGGGTCGGCTGGAATTGCAGAGCGCGAGAAAAGCGGGGGATTAGCTCTGGGGCTGGGTGGGGGCGACAGCGTGCACCTGCGAGGCTGCAGGCGCCGCGGACGAGGGAAGGGAGGTGAGAGGTGGTGGCAGGCTGGGCGGGCGCCCCGGGAAAGGAGGGCAGGGCCTGGGCTGCTGAGAGCGCGCGATGAGTTCAGTGAAGCCCCACCTCCACTCGCCGGTCCGGCCCGGTCCTGCGGCGTGGGGCTGGCTCTCCAGAGCGCTCGGAGCGTGCACCAGGCCCTGTGCCAAGCTCTTCGCCCACGGTGTCTTATGGCTTCTCCCAGTGGTCCTAAGAAGAAGGTATCCTGACCTTCCAGGTGATCCTAAGAAGGAGGTACCCTGACATTCAGGTGAAGGAGCCGAACACAGAGAGGGTAGGTAACCCACCCAAGGTTGTACAGTCGGTCGCTGGAAGTCCGAAGGTTCGACTCCTAGCCCATGCTCTGCATTTTCCAAAACCGAAACAAAGCAAAGCATCGGCGAGGGAGAGTTTGTCCCCAGCTGCCAGTGGAAGGTCGGCAGAGGGGAGAGGCAGGCTGGAACTTAATGGATGGACATCAACAGGCCCAGGCTCAAGCTGGGTGGTCTTTACAGCTTCAGCCAACCACTGTCAGCCTCCGAGGCTGTGGCCTCTGACCCCAGCCTGACTCCCCCATTCCCCTTAATTTGTTCACCCCCAGGTATTCATAGGGTGCCAACTACCTGCAGGCTCTTGGTGGGGCTGGGGTAGGGGTGGGGCAGGAAGTGTTATGTGGGCTGCCCGTGTCCTTTGAGTTTGAAAGTCAGTTGGTGAGGCAGGCTTATAGTTCTCATGTTTCTTTAGTTTACAAAAACAAACAAAAACAAAAACTTCTGTTTAGAACCCTCTGAAATGATTTTGTGACCTACTAAGACAAGCTGAGAGCTGGCCCGTATGGTGTCCTGAGAAGTGCAGGGTTTCACCTATTAGGGAACTACAGGGTGATGGGAACATGAGTAAGCTAGTGATTACCCTGGGAAGTGGGGACAGTGCGTGGGCATGGACCACTCAGATTCGGCTGGGGTAGCAGGCTGTGTTTTCTCAAAATGGCCACAGCAGTATGTCAGTTTCCATGTGCCTTCCAGAACCTTCCACTGGCATCAAAACACTCCCTATCTATGCTGCGTGTACTTGAATGTTTTTGGGGCTTGTGACTGCTCTAGCCAATAGATTGTGGCAGAAGTGTTGTCATGTGCCTTCCAAGTCTGGGTCATAAGAAGGACTGAGGTCTCTGGAAAGATCCCTGCTGGAACTAGGCCACCATGTTGTTAGGAAGTTCAGGACACACGAGAGGCAACCTGTGTGTTAAAAGGTCTCAGCCAACAGCTGGGCCTCAACTGCCAGGCGTGAGTGAGGCCTCAAATGGTTCCAGACCCTGCCTTTGAGCAGTCCTGGAAGGGGGCGATGAGAGGGGCTAATGTGAGTCGTCCTCACTGTGTCATGGCCAAGATGCAGATTCATGAGCAAAACAAATGTCACTGTATTAAGCACTGTGTTTTAGGGTAACTTGTTATGCAGCCATAGTAACTGTAACTGTAATTACTGAATAATAATAATTCCCATTTGAAATGAGTAAATGATACAGAGGGGTCTTGTCCAAGATTGCTCTTCTGACTGTCTAGCTCTAGAGAGCAGTGCTTATTTATCTCACTTTTCATTAGGAACATTGTCAAACCCACAAAAGTAGAGAGAATGGCACAGTTAACCCACGTGTACCTACCACGTGATTCCACAGTTACTAACTCGTGGCGGATCTCGTTTCTTCTCTACCCGCAGTCACCTCCCTCTGCTGCTAGGTTGTTCTGAAGCAGATCATTATAATGTTGCATTTGTAAATACTTCAATGTCTATGTCTAAAAGAAAGTCCTGGCTTTTTTTTTTTTTTTTACTTTGTTATAAAGGCGTGGGGCACGAGTCAGCATTAGGTACTTAAGTAGTGTTTATGCAGGTAAAGTTTGGGCCTCCAGCTGGTCCTTGCTTCCCCTGGTTTAGGATTAGGTAGCCTTTGTGTTGTTAGGTGCCCTCCCTCCCTGGCAGTGTCCCGCGACTGACGATGCCTCCCTTGTGTTATTGTGGTTAGTGTTCAGGTCCCACTTATGAGTGAGAACATGTGGTAGTCAATTCTTTGTTTCTGTGATAGGTTGCTAAGAATGATTGTCTCCAAGTGTTCAGTATTTTTTTTTCAAGCAAAGTTTATTTAGAAAATAAATGAGAGAGAGAGAGAGAGAAATTCACCTCCTCGAGTTAGGGGAGGGGCCAAAGCTAAGAAAACATGGTGGCCATAGCTCAAAGAGCCATGTGGAGACACCATAGTTTATTCTTAAGCACTCTTGTTACCCTATCACCCAGGCCTTCAGTGAGTGGATGCAGTGACAATTTACATGGAGGACCAAGTGGGCAGCAGGAAGAGTCAGACTTTAGACTGAAGGGGCAGTTGCTCTGCATGTATTAACATTTGTTCTGGGATTTTGCAGGAAACTCAGATACCATTTATCTGGGTTTCTGAGCTGCACAGCTTGATACGGAATGAAAGTATATTAAGCCACACATGTGAAGAAAAGGCTCTTTTTAAAAAATCTGAAAAGAACGGGTTGCTGTGGGCCTTGTGGGAGCCCAGGAAGTCAGCAGCCAGGGCTCCCTAAACTATTCATCTCCACGATCCACACTGACAACCAAGCTGTGTTGTTGATTTGTGACAAATGAATACCCTCTCGAGGCTATCCTGTGCTCATCCTCCTATTCTTGTCCTTTTAGCTGAAAGGAATTATTGTTAATATGTTCATTTAATTCAAGACTCCCAGCCAGATTCTAAAGCGAAACGCCAATCAGCTTGAAGCACCTACCCTACTGGGTCTGTGGAGTAAGAGTTAAATAATATTACCCAGCTGCACTGTCTGGCCTGCTAAGCCACCCCTGGGAGGCCCCTCCACCCCAGCCCTGGAAGAGGGGGCCCCTGTCAGGCCAAGGGAGTCTGGCACAGTAGTGCAGGCTCCTGGTTGCCCAGGCGCAGTGACCAGCCAGTCTTCACAAAGGCCTCGGGGCTTACTATAAATAAATCATGGCTGCGTGCAGGCTGAGCTGGTGCAATGCTTCTAACTGGCCACTCCTCTCAAGAACTACCAGAGCTTGGTTGGGCAAATAGGAAGCTCCTCAGGGGCTCATTGTGTGACTCTCAGATTCTTTCCACTGTTTGAGTGCCTGAAGCCTAGGGAAGTCCAGCTCTTGTGGTAACTTTCTCTCAGGCTGGGAGGAAGATCGGAGTCCCCCTGAGCCTTCCTTCATTACACTCTGGTCCCCACACAACTCTTGAAGGAGATTAGATTCCAGAACCTTCATCTCCAAACAGATGGGAGAATAAGATCTGTGGCAAGACGACTGTTTTTTAAAAGACTACTTTTTTTTTTTTTGAGTTGGAGTCTCACTCTGTTGCCCAGACTGGAGTGCAGTGGCCGCTCCCGGCCACCGCAGCCTCGACCTGCTGGGCTCTGGCGATCCTTCCACCTCAGCCTTCCGAGTAGCTGGAATTACAGGCACACGCTACCACGCCCGGCTGATTTTTTGATTTATTGTAGAGATGAGGTCTTGCTGCCCAGGCGGGTCTCGAACCCGCAGGCTCAGACAATCCACTCACCTCAGCCTCCCAAAGGCGCGGGATTACAGGCTGAGCCACCGAGCCCGGCTAAAAAACTACTTTTTAAGATGCTGAAGTTGAGAGTGTAGGACTGGGTGCGCGGTAGATCATGCCTGTGATCCCATGACTTTGGGAGGCCGAGGTGGGAGGATCGCCTGAGGCCAGGAGTTTGAGGCTGCAATGAGCTGTGATCATGCCACTACACTCCATCCTGAGTAACAAAGTGAGACCCTGTCTCTTGAAAAAAAAAAAAAAAAGGTTGATAGCTTAGGAAAAAGGACAACAAATGGTGTATAAAGATGGACATGTGACAAACTCTCAGTCTTCTGGGTGACATGGGTCATTGTAGGTAAAAGGGTGATGCAGGGATTGCATATTGCCTTAGAAACTATAAAGTGGTTAGCAGTTTTCAAAACAAGAGGCTAGTTAGAAAAGGAGAATGACGACTGTGTTGTGCGCCTGTATGGAGGCCTCCAGCAAGGTCTCTGGTTTTCCTCACCCAGGAGGACGCGGCCACAGAGGAGGCTAGTCAGGAAGAGCAGTTTACTCTTGCGAAAAGGATATTTCCTGATTTTAAAACTTTAGAGGGAATCTGGAAGATATTTTTCTTTTCTGTTTCTGTGTTTTGAGGGTGTTATACACCTGTATTCCGTCCTCAGCAGCAGGTGGGAGGAGTCTTCAGAGGTGGGCGGGGTGGGGTGAATCCCAGGAGTCAAGTCTCAGCCCAAATTTGAATCTAATTTGGATAATGTCTCAGAACCTTGGGTGGCAGATTGATCGTTCATTCATTTGCTCACTCATTAATTCAACCCTTCAACGCATCTTTCCGAGCCCTGCCGTGCCTGCTGTGGATGCTGTACAGAAGCGAACAAAGCGGTCTCCCCCCGTGGAGCGGAGCTCCCTGCAGGAGCCAGAACACGCCTTGCAGCGACAGGCTTCGGGGCGTGGGGACATGAGTGCCCCGGCAGCGCCGGCTGCCGCCAAGGTCTCCCCACCTTAGCAGGCTCGGGTACCTTCTGGAGGTGCGTTGCTAAGGACGCGCTACCGCCGTTGCCAGGGCCTGTGGCTGGGGGTGGAGTGTCGCGAGAATCTCCGAGGTTTCCCGCGGGAGCGCCCAGTGGTTGCCGGGAAACGGCGCAGCCTCCGCAGGGCGGGCGCGCTTGTCTGTGGGTCTTGGCGGGGCGGGTCCGCAGGAGCCATGGTGAGGAGGGGCGGGGGCCGGGGG